TGGAAAATTTAAGGAGTTATTATTATGTACGTTTAGATGATACAACCGGTAGGATACTTTTGCACGTTACTGTAAATACTTTTAGTTAGCGAATCGCATATTACCAATATTATATTCACAATTTATACGAGTTTTTTTGTATAAAGAAATAATTAAGTTGACGATAATTGTTTGTATTCCGTTCTTTGATGGCAAAATTCTGCATGCTAAGATGGCGTAATTTTTTTCTTAGATATGGTTGGTGCTCGAGTGCCAAATAAGCTAGTGATGATTTTCGTATGGAGGATGCAATTTGGTGTTACATAACATTTCGAAGTAATAAAAGGATTATTGTTTAGTGCCTCTTTTTTGTATATCACATGGGAGCAAATGGGCTGTGCTATATTGATAGAAGAATAGTTTGAGTCACTAAATAAGTTAGTAATAATTAGACTATTGGTGTTGTATTGTTCGAATAAAGTCATGGTCTAGTTATATGATATGATGTGTTACAGAAATGGGGTTCATAGTAATTCTAGAAGTATATAGTATTTCCATTAAATTTACGAAAAAGTCAGGAGGTATATATATGGTAAAGGTTTAGAAGAAAGGATGGCTGAGTGGATAGTAAAGAAGTATAATCATATCGTCGATTCCATAAAGATTAAAGTTTACGTTACACATGTTACACAGATTACACAGCTCATTAATTGGAAATGAACGCTTTCACTAGATATGGTCCTTTTTCTCGAAAAGCTTACATACTATATAAAAACATTTCAACTCAGTGTAAAGGCATTTTTATGTAAACATCATATTGCAATAAACATAATTACTGGCAGATTGCCTAAAAAAAGTTCTATATTGAGCCGAAAAGTTTTAACGACAAGTAATTTAATTGTTGAGTATAGAGTTGGTGCACCATATATCTTCTGCCGTTCACTAAATCAATGAACTGACAGAATCGGGGAAATAGATTTTATCCCAATCTTCTGTTGCGCGATTGTGTAACTAAAAAAATCCGCAGCTTATGCATCTTGTGCGCGCTGTGTTATTATTTACATTGCGTGCGTGGAATGTTGTACCATGGATCTTACATTACGCAGAAAGTACGAGGAATATGTTATTTATACATAGTTTTTGGCAAAGCCTACTAGAACAAATCATACGTGCTTTTATGAAACTCATGCTATAATGGAGTTTACATTATAACGGAATATGGTCCTTTTTCTCGAAATTATATAAAAGTTCCAGCTTAAAAACATTTCAACTCAGTGTAAAGGCATTTTTATGATAAACTTTGTAAACATCATATCGCAATAAACAAATTACTGGCAAATTATCTAAAAAAAATTCTATACTGAGCTGAAAAATTTTAACGACAAATAATCTTATTGTCGAGTATAGAGTTGGTGCACCATATATCTTCTGCCATTCACTAAATTAATGAACTGATAGAATCGGGGGAATAGAATTTTATCCCAATCTTCTGTTGCGCGATTGTGTAGCTGAAAGAATTCCGCAGCTTATGTATCTTCTGCGCGTTGTGTTATTATTTACATTGCGTGCATGGAATGTTGTACCACAGATTCTTACATTACGCAGAAATACGAGGAATATGTCATTTATGCATAGTTTTGACATAAGTTTACTAGAACAAATCATACGTGCTTTTATGATATAATGAAGTTTACATTACAACGGGCTTTGACTGGACATGCACAAAAAACCAATATAGACCTTTTCTGTTGACAACAAATTCAAGGCGAGGTTTTGTACCATACGATGCCAACTATGGGGAAATTAAAATTTTGCTGCGCAGAATAAGATGCTTTGATAATGATCATTTCCTAATTATTCAACAATTCTTCAAAGGGAAAGATTTGCAAATCACAAACAAAATGTAATTGGCGGATGCCAAAGCACAAGATGAATAAAAACCTTAAACGTTTTTTGGGTTTAAACCAAATCCGGAAGAGAGGCAAAAGTAATTTAGCTAGACAAGCTTCGAACCGGATATAGAAGAAAAGTATAAAATGAACGTATCAGACATTGGAAGTAGAGAGCAGCACATACGCAGCAGCAATATACCCTTGATTTATCATGAGCAACTCATCATTCACCAACGTAACTGTCGCAGGAGGCACTGGAGCTTTGGGTTTTAATATAGCTGAAGCCTTGTTGAACGATGGGTCATTTACAGTAAAGGTTCTTCGAAGAATGCCAGAAACTCCAAATGATAAAGCCGATTTGTTGGCTTCCAAGGGAGCAGAAATTGTCTACGCTGATTATAATCAACATGACCATCTTGTCAAAGCTCTTAACGGAACCGATGCTCTAATTAGTGTTGTATCTCCCGGACGGACCGGGAGTTATGACTTTGACGCTCTTCAAACTCCTTTATTGGATGCTGCTAAAGCTGCCGGTGTGAAAAGGTTTATTCCATCTGAATTTGGTATAGATTATAAGTAAGTTTGTCATTTTAACTACTCCTTCTTATCGATTATATTTTTTGTAAACAATTGTAATAACAAATACATTTTACTATTCTGTTTGAAAAGAGTTGGTGATCATCCGATAAACGATACCAAAGCTTCGTTCCGTGAAAAGGTTGTAAATAGTGGACTTGAGTACACCATTATTTTGTGCGGATTGTTTGCAGAATATCTTGGCGTGTTGTATGATATCAAAAATAAGACTGCCAAATTCTATGCAGACGGCAGCACCGAATTGGCCGTTATTGCTTTGTCAGATATCGGCAAATATACCGCTGAATCTCTCAAGTTGGAAGAAAGTCGTAACGCCACCATCAGGGTTGCTGGTTCGAGATTGTCACTAAACGAAATACTTGAAAAGTTTGAAGAAGCTACCGGTGAGTCTTTTGCATTTGCTGCTTTCTCTCTTTGAAAATACACATTTGAACAGTCGTTAATTATGTTAATTTGCATTGCATTTAAGGCTCTAAATGGGAAGTTGTCGTAGATAAAGAAGTAAAGCACAGATTTCAGAATAAGATTGATCCAGTTCCTTCGCCAATGGATTTGTATATATCCGTTGTTTTAGAAAGAGCATCGTTCGAAAATATTGATAACGACAAGTTTAGTTTCAGCCCTCGCCCTCTCGTTGACGTTATCAATGTGCTTGTTCAGATGGCATCTATTTGATATGTAAAGCAGAGTTGAATGTAAAACTCTTGCACTATGTCAGAGTACTTTTCATATGTTTACTTCAAACTGAGATTGTAATAAATCTGATTGTTCCGAATATTACATACATGATAGAAAGAAAAGTTGAACGACAATATTTTTTAAGTTGTTTTGACTACGGTCTGGCGAATAAGTTTAAATATTGCTTATTAATTCATTGCGCATTAATATTTACGGAACTAACATGTTAGTTTTTTTCTCTGATTGGTATTATCCTTCTTCCTCCGGTTATACTGTATTAAGAATCATTAAATAAGCTTATGTAGATTATGTAGAAAGTAATTTCATTGCGATATCTTTATTCGTAACATAAGTCTAGATACTGTTAGTTAATTATTAGCGTGGCGTAATATTGCACGCAAGGGTAATTGTCAAATTTGTCACTATTATCATCAACACCGTAAGACGTTAGAGAACAAATAGAGAAAACAACAATTGATATAATTCCTTGATCAAAGGATTAACAATTAAATTCCAAATTGGTAGCTCCCGCGCAGTATTTTTAGCATAATATTGACAGTTGAGGCTAATAAATAACTGCCATTGCGAACATACTTTCGAATTATGTACTGCGGCGTCTGTAAATTGAATGTGCTCATGTGATGTGACGAATTTGTTGAATGCTTCGCTTGTCGTTACACATTGAATTACAGCAATTATAGTGAACTTGTACTTTCCCTATGCATATATTCTTTTCGTTACAAGATAAGAAGAGCTGCAGGAAAAGAGCTCTTGCAATCGATGTAATAATGTACGTATGT